GGAAGAGATATGATTTGGATTTACTAACAGGTGTTGATAATTCCAGGATAGGTTATGGTGGCAGTGCTAATAACTCTCAAAACTATTTCCGAATACTTGCTGATTTGTATATACCTAATGTTGGCAAGAGTAGCACCCGGCCGGAGGCCAAGACAAGCAAATTATTTTGCCCACCAATAATTATGTAAGACGTGAATGTAAAGGTTCTTGTAGACCAACTTGAGGCGAGAAAACCGAAAATTAACTTCAAGATAAAGAATATTAATACATAGACGTAAAAGTAAACTGTTTATTGCAGATATTAATATGTATAACGAGATGATGGCCTTGCTAAAGGAAAAGAAGATAAATTCGTACACCAAAAGAACTTCGTCAAATGTCTTTAGTCATTCGTGGTCTGCACTTCAAGACTGAGGCGAAGGGTGTTAAAGTTTCTTGGACAATGAAATACCTAATACTATAGATAACGTCCTAATTATTCTAAGAGAAACAATAGCGACACTGGCTTATATCTGGTCACCCTTCAGCAGGGTAAGGGACTTAAGGATATAACACACATCAAATACATTTTTAATGAACGTGAGATTCAATGCCGCAAATGCCGGCTTTGGGGTCACATGGCGAAAAAATGCAATCGTGAATTTAAATGTGTAAAATGTGTGGAACAACATGAACCTGGTGAATGTGGTAAGAAGAATGAAGAACCAATTTGTATTAACTGCGGTTGGAATTATGATAAATAACACCATTTCTTATAGCAGAATTAGAATTAACGAAATTAATTTTAATAATGTTTTCTTGAAAATCGGGGTGAATATTGAAAACACCCGTAAGGAAATCTTAATTGGGTCGCTTTACATTCCATGTAATTCAAACGAAGCCACCATCAGCAACGGTCTTTCGAGAGCCTCGACAGCTTTTAACGGTGTAGTAGTTGGTGGAAATCTTAATTCTAAACATTGTTCTTAGGGGGACCGTAATCATAACGGCAATACAAATTGGATGAATTTTCGTCGTGACATGGAAGTGCAAACATCTGTTCTAATGCCACCTAACAACAGGAATCTTCCAAATGAAGAAATAGATCAATTAATATCTGATTTTATGCAATTCTGTAGCTAACATGCACTCACAAAAATTTTATATTGGAAATAAAAAAATCATCATTTCGGACAAAATTAAGAACTTTTATAGTATTAAACAATTTTAGCAAAAACAACTTAAACAGATTTATCATAGAGTTGGTAATAGGCTGGGCCTAATGCTTTCAAGGAAATTTACCGAACAAATGGCAATAAGAAATTTTCATTTTGTGATAAGATGATGTTTGGGGATACGCCTACATTTGACGACAATGAGAAATGTGAGATTTTCCGAAACTATTATTCTGAAATTTATGCCGAAAAACGGCCCCAGAGAGGTGTAACTGGTATTGACGACCGCAATTCGTCTTTTATGTATAACATTCCTTCATCCATATACTCCTTCGACGACACACTTAACTCCTTGGAAAATGAAGATTCTTTTCATTTTGTTAAAGCAGCCACAGTGAAAAATATCATGCAAACTATAAACAGTAAAAAGTCTTCCGGTATAGATGACATTTCCAACTTCCTCCTAAGGAGATTACCTGATGTAACAATAGAATTTCTTACAATACTTTTTAATAATTGTATCAACAATGGCTACTTTCCATCTTGCTGGAAAAATGTGGGTAAAATTCTGGAACATATATTAAAGCAGAAGCTGGAAAATGTATTGGTAATTGATCCGATATCCTGTTTTCAATTTGGCTTCAGGCGGTCATATTCAACAGCGCATGCACTATTAAAATTTCATAGTAACGTGACAAATAATTTAAGACAACAACAATGTACTGTAGCCGTGTCACTAGATATTCAGAAGGCGTTCGATACTACGTGGCACAAAGGAATCCTGTATAAATTAATCAACCTGGAGATCGATCCGTATTTAGTGAAATTATTCTCAAGTTACTTTTCTGATCGGCAATTCTGCGTACAAATTAATTCGAAGAGTTCTGAATTTGGTCAAGTAAAAAGCGGAGTGCCACATGACAGCGTATTGGCTCCATTTTTTTAAATATATATTAAAATGACTTCCCTCATGAAACACATGATTCAATGGCAATATTATATGCAGATAATTGTTTGATTTTCAGTCAAGACGTATCAGCACAGGCAGCCCTAAACAAAGTCTCACACCATCTTTCTATTATTGATAATTTTTATAAAATATTGGGAATTGAAATTAATGCGCCAAAATCCGAGGCAATATGTATACGAAATGCCTCGGGAAAGTGCCCTATTTTTGTTGTACCAGGAAGCAAGTCCCTGCAACTATCCTTTGAGGGTAGTATTCGATAAACTGTTCAGATTTAATAACCATGTAAGGTGGCTCTTACTGAAATGTAAAAGAATTACGGGTATGTTTTCAGAAATTTTAAACAGCAAATATTTACCTCAAAAAACAAAACTATTGGTTTACAAAACTGTTATAAGATGAGATCCGGCTTATTATATGCATTTTAAATTTGGTTTACCATCTCACCATCAGTTGCAAAGGAACTGGAATTCTTTGAAAGGAAAATACTGCGAAGCTGTGTAAACAGACATTTTGAAACTCTCACTAAACGTTACTCGAATGAATACGTCTACGATTGGCGCCAATTGTCCCACTCTGCCAATATGCTTTTTCCCTACAGAGAGACTTTGTGAATAGATTGGAATTCCACGATAATATCCTAATGAACGGGATTTATTGTGATGATTGCAATATAGGCTAGCTGGATGCATTATATTTGTCCCCAGTGGGTATTTTACTTGGCAATTCTGGGAACACCCTTGTTCAGGACGTCTATTAGCAACCGGAATTTTATCGGAAGTCCTCCCCGAGCACCCACCGCGGTTAGGCTCATCCTATTTTATATAACTTAATATTATATAGTAATATTCATTTTTAAATGATCTCGTTGTTTGTTATGCTTAATAACTGACTGTGATTTATATTATATGTTTTTATTAAGCACACTGTTTAACAGATGTGAAAATTTATTTATAAGTGTTATCTAGTTTTATACCTTTTTTAACAGAATTATAAACGAACCTATTTTGTTTATATATACATATTTATACATTCGAAATATTAATTTTCATGCAAGTAGCATTTTCGATTACGTGATAAAGCAAAATATTAATGGCTTTAAGTGTAATATGTGATATTGACAATTTTTGTATCTAATTATTGTTATCGTGAAAGTCACAAATAAATAAATAACAAAAAAATAAACAAAAATTCAACTGATTTTGGCATAAATAACAATAAAGTGGTAACACTGAAATCATAAACCGACAGCTGTTTACCAAAAAAAAAAAAAAACTAAGATGTTATTATTTGACAACATAAACTAATGGCTTAGCGCAAAGTTCTGTTCACAATCACTGTTGATATATTTTAGTAGCTACAACTTGATTGCTAATAGAATATGTTGCTTTTAGACAATCATGTATAAAAATAAATAAATTTTGTTAATGTATAAAAAATCTATATTCTGGGGTCACAACCGAAAAATTTTTATTTTTTCCGGTTTCTAATATCACACAAATTTTCACTGTTTAGAGAGGCAAATGGAAGTTTGATGATAGCAATTAACTCTATACGAATTTATAAACACACAAAATTCACGACCAATATGGAAAGAAATAAAATTTTCGTAGATTTTCGTATTTCATATCACATCAATTTCAATATTGAAACGGATCCCAGGAGCCCGTGGTACAATATTTGGGATTCCTTTGTATTTAATGTAAGTATATATGTATTTAGTTATTATATTCATTTATGAAACTGTATGTATGTCAACATAATGTGCGTGTACATACATATATGTATACTTATGTGTGTATGTGTATTTATTTGACACGTCCGTTACTCACTGCCGAGAAATAAATATTATTAAGATTTTTAACCTGGAACCGTTTTGTTAATCACATTCACTTTGGCTTTCGACTTTTCATAGTATCAACACACATATGATACTATGTATATGTATATTAGGCTCATATTTATATCATTATACATACATACATGATCTTGATTGGATTCGATGTACATATGTTATTACATACATATGTATTTATGTTTGAATCATTTGAACTGAAAATCAAATTTTGACTATTTAATTAGCAAGACGTACTAGTATACGTTCATAACTTAGGCCTTTTTGGGTTTCAAAAAAAACAAATTCTCAAGGACGTAAGTTTCATATCTCCGTAAGTAAAACAAAAATCGCAAATTTTTCTTCAAATAATAATTTGTCAATAAGAAATAAGCTTAACTTGAGAAAATGTTGAACATATTTGGTTTATTTATCATTTTAGACGGTTTTTTTTGCTTCTCCTGAAAAATTTGTTCAATGTGACTTAGGGCTTTTTGGATTACATATGACGATATATTTTGTACAATGATGAGAATGGTGATGAGATGATGATGGTCTCTATTAGTTTGTTTAGAGTAATATAAACATTAATAATTATACGTACGCACATACATACAACTATATATACATTTTTACATTTATATTATAATCAATATATGTGTGAAGTGAAGTTCCTCCAATGATTGGGTGGGACAATGACACGAATGCAAGTATTATTCCTCGTTTAAAATGTTAAAAGTTCCAGTATAAATATTCTTGCTATTAGAAACCAAAATCACTTATTGTTTTTAATTAATTTATTAAAAAAAATTTCAACTATTAGTAAATAGTTTTTAACACAGAAAAAAATTAAAACATTTTTATCCTTCGGTCTTACATACATATATGTATATATGAATGTATGTGATTAATGTATTTGTATATACCACAACGCACACACATGTATAGTATGTGTATGTATATTTCTATTTATGTGAAGGATTTCTTTGTCATAATTGCAAATTTTTCTATTCAACAATTTTATTTTACTTTAAAATCGTAGTACCTTTATTGAGTTTTATTTTAATCCATTAATTTTATAAACTATTTTTCGGTTTTCGATACAATGAACATATCGTCTATATTTTTTTATTTTAATTTTATAAAATTTTGAACAACTTTGTTCTGTGGTATTTTTATACTTTTATCTATACAATGTTGTTGGACTTTCACGTTACGAACTTAGTCTATCTATATGTATGTATATCCAGTGACTTCCACCACCACTACCACCAACTCCACCGTAACAAACGATTTGACGAAAACGAAACGAATGTATTTGTTTTCTTTTTTATTTCATTTTAGTACAAAGAGTTGTCAAAATATATACTCACATCGCCTTCACCCACTTTTGATTAATACTCGTAATAACAACATAAGGACAAACAAAGAGAAGAGAGCCCGACAAAACATTAATTTCTATATGGTTAACACACGTTTCCATTTAATTTAAATCGCAAATAGAACTCAGCTTTATTCGCTCAGCAACCAAAAATGAATACATTTACTTCCCACAGATACAAGTACATTTACTACACAGATGTAAATATAAAAATGTTTACACTTACACATTATTAAAAGGCTTGCTAGATGTTCCTGATTAATATCCTCTCTTTGCGAATGCGCTTTTTGTTGACTATTTCCTGTCATTTGCTGAATGTTCTAAAATTAAATGTCAAAAATACAAATTTCTATTAGAGGTGCCCTAAAAATATAGTTTTGGTTGGAATAAGTTTATTTACACTTTCAGTCCATAATTTAGTAAATAACAATATACCGGATCCCATGCAACACTTATTGTAAGAATAACTCTCAAACAATGTGTATACTTAATACCATAGTATAAGTAATAGAAGGTAGTCCCAATTTCTCCTTATATCAACATGATTAACCATCTGACAATAAAGGAGATGTGAAGTTTATGTTTAAAATAAAGCTACCATATTAATAGTAATTAATCCCACTATTTTACAAATATGTCAACAGACCCTTAATTCTTTGCCAGAAGTTTTAAGACACTTTAATGGAAAAAATAAAATTTTAAATTAGAATTTCAGTTTCTTTCTCATCAATTTTGTAAAAAATGTCTGTTACCAAGGCATTTTACGAAAGTATTGATATGAATGCAGCCAATTGTGTGTAGAAAAAACAGGCTGTTTTTTGACCCATAGAGCTGAAAATGTGTGTCTGGTCTACTATCCAATAGTACTAACCTTGGTGCAAATTTCATCCAAATTAATTTTTTTAAGATGGGTCACTTGACACGAAATTGCCCATTTGTTGCTTTCAAATGAAGCGTTACCTACGATATTAAATACCTTACTCTAGACTGAAAATGCACAACCTTAAAAAGTACAAATTATTTCGAATCTTGGTGCATCTGTTGTAATCATGATAGAGGCTAATGGGAGGAGCTCTGCTAATGCATCAATATCGTTGAAATATTTAATATAAAATATATGTCCTCCCGGAAAACTGTTTAAAAATTTATAAATTTGTTGTTGTAACATTGAAAATTATACAGTAATCTAGTTTTCGGATTCTGCATCAATGTCTAGGCCTAAAAATTGTTCTACATCAACTGGATGAAATCCATAAATAAAGCGTAAAATTTCAGTATCCAGAAGTAATACTGTAAAGTGTAGCCGAAATTGGGGGTCAAAAAAGATCCTATTGAGAAACTTATAAATATCGCTATGTAATTATACATAAACAAGTTTTTAATAAAAAATAATCGTTAAAATTTGCTCTAATACATAATTTGTAAATTTTCATATACACTACACATGTTTGCTTAAAAATTTCTCGAAGTATTTTACACTTTTTTTAGTAGTGGCAACGTTTTACCTGAATATTTATATGCCATTTACACCAACCAAAAACTAGTAGTTTTTGGCAAAGAATATAAAGAAATTGGAGCTTGTCAGTTGGTACGTAAAGGAGTTGTCATTCGGTACCTAACTCTAAGTATGTATTGGTAGAATTTTTGTATTAGTATTGGAGCACCAACCACTTTCACCACACTTTCCAAACATACATACTTGCATAAAATCGTACATAAAAATTTTAGGAAAAATAAATAACATTTAAATTTCTACATTCGCAGATTTTTTAATTTATTTTGCCCACATCTAATCAATAAACATTTAATATATATTTTTTTCGGACTTAAAATCTCTTTTTTTGCAAAAAAATAAGTTTATTTTAAATAATTTTTTCATTTTCAATACCAAAATATACAACTTTGTTTTGTCAATTTTAATTTCAACACACATAAATTAATTGTCAAAAAAATTAAAAAAATATTTTTTTAGTTAGTGAAAAATAAAAATATTTCGGATTGTTAAATGCGATAAAATTGTGTAAAAAATTAAAAAATAGTTATGTGTTTGTAAAAAAAAGTCGTTCAAGTCCTATTATCCCGGTATTTTCGCGAAAAAGTTTTGAAGTATTGTGAGAGAATTGAGTTCTCACAAGTGTGTTGAATTTACACAGAACTCGTCTGTGAAGAGAAGGAAATGTTATTGTTGTAAAACAATGTCATAGTCCAACTTCTTATTATTCTTTGGTTTTTGGCTTTATTTGGTCTTTGTTTGAAAAACTACTAAAATTTCTTTGGTTTTTTCATACAAATTAAAAACTACTTTCAACTAGTTTTTGATAAAAACCCAAACAAAACCCAATAAAAATAACAAAAATTCAAACTTGCAGCTCTGGCTGAGCTTTAAAAAAGCTTTTTTAAAAGAAAATGTCAAAAAGAAAAATTTCAAGTTTAAAATTTACATTAAATTTTATTGAAAAATTTAGTAATTTTATGTTAAATTAATTAAAAAACGTTATTAATATAATTTCTAAAATAAACAAGTAAGAAATTATTGTCGAGCGAGGCCGACCATATAATACCCTACACCTGTTACAAAAATAAAATGTGATTTAGTTTTCATAATAAAGCATTTAATTGTACCCTGTCTCAGATTTGCAACAATTGTTATTGGATTCCGTTCGCGTACTTTTGAAAACTTGCAACGAGAGAGCAAGAGAGCGATAAAAATGACAGTTCGTTGATAGAGAATTTTTTGATTTTACTGGAAATTTTTTCCCCAGTAAAAAATATCCAACATATATTCACAACATATGTTTGATTTTTGAATATGTAAACAAACCAAAGAAATCGAAAATTTGGTAAATTTTACATTTTTTGAAAGAAATATATAAATTAATAACACACGAATATTAAAAAATTATTTGTAATTAGATTTATTTTAATTTTATTTATCATAAATTAGTTTTTAAAAGAGTTTATTTGTTGTGAAAAATCATAACAAATATTGTTTTTAAAACAATTTAGTTTGTCTTTCTCTTAGCGATTTTGTGTAAATTTTTATTTTAATAATATGTTAGTATCATGAAGTTTTAAAACAATAATATATTTTTAATGATACTACATGTTTTGTTAACTTTAAATATCCATTTATTTATAGGAAAAAAATCAAAGTTTCAATTATTTGTTTTTTAGTGTTATGTTAGCGATTTAGATTTCAGCAAAATCTTTGTTTATAAACAAAAACTTGCAAATTTTTTTAAAAAATTGGCTTTCGCGTACTTTTTTAGATATTTTTTTGATTGAGAATAAATTAAAAATTACTCTCTATCATTAAGTTACTGGATATTTCTTACAGGAAAGTACGCGAAAAGACCTATTATTGCGAGCGATAGTCAATTTCTTTACGAACATCTTACGTACTTATGATTTTTAAAATTTAAAATTTCAAAAATGGCGCTTTTCACATCTTTTGCTCTTAAAAACTAAGTTAACGAAGTGATCGGGGAAAACTAAAAATATATTCTTACTCCATGGACTATAACAAAACGGAATTGGTATATGAGAACCCCTGCATTTTTTTGGTATATCACTGTGAAATTATTTACACAAACCAAAATTAACATTTTCTCAGTATTTTTTTTTAGGTCCAGCTTTTTTTGTTTTGTCCAGCTTTTTAAAATCCAATGTCCAGCTTTTTGCGAATCAGAATCTGGCAACCCTATCTCAGATATACTTAAGCCATTTATTGTTGAATAAAATTGTGGACGTTTAAGTGAAATTTTGAAGGGGGCTTTGTATAGGGGCCCTATAATTATAAAATTCATGAGAGTCATAATGGCTAGAACTTGGTTTTGCAGCTTTTTGTCGAGATACGATTATATTAAACATAATTATGAAATTGAAAGCCCTATTCGTCGGGTTCATTTGTATGGGGGCTATGTGAAATAATGGACCGATCTTAACCATTTTCAATAGGCTTCGTCTCCGGTACCATAGAAGATCATTTGTCAAAGTTCATTGAATTATCTTCAAAATTGCGACCTGTAGTTTGATTACAAGGTTTACATGGACGGACAGACGGACATAGCTAAATCGACTCAGAAAATGATTCTAAGCCGATTGGTATACTTTAAGGTGGGTAAAGGACCAATATTATTGTGCGTTACAAACATCAGCACAAACCCAATATTCCCTTCCCACTAAAGGGTATATCAACAAAGTATATCGTGACCCTATATTCAAGAAGTGCGAACTCAATTTTGGGCAAAGTGAGTTTTTGATGCAAAAGGATTTCTCAATGCATGATCCACGTCTGGTATAAATTTGAAACCAAAAAAGTAATTTTTGTACTTTTAACAACAATTTTTGTTAATATGCTATCTCAAAGTTAAATTTTTATTGAAGAAAATAAGTGCTAACTTCCATACAAATTTTACAACATTTTTTAAAACTTCAAATTTATTTAAAATTTATTTTGTATATTAACAAGATGAACATGCTGAACACAAAACAGGTGAAGATTAATAAATTGAATGTATAGTTTTTAAGATATGATCATTTATATATTTGTATATAAAGCCAGTTTTAGACTTTAAATAATGTTTTTTCGAAAAATTTTAAGTTATTTCAGAAATCGTTTATAACACTAAGATCTATAATATTCTATGGTTCCAATTTAGAATTTTGATTATAAAAAAGTCTTTAAATGTGCAAATTATGGAGTATTATTCAAAAAATATTGGTACTTTTTATATTCAAAAACTTTTCATAATTTAAAATATTTGTACTGAGAATAAGGAATAGTAAACAAGCAGATATCCCATGAGTTTTTCTACTTAAATGGTGTAAATGCATCTTATTGCACTTACTGGTTTGACTTATATCCCTTAAAAAAAAAAACATTTCATAAAATTATAAA